TGCAAATTCTACACCACGTGTTCGACCTTGAATAAACATTCAGAACCCATGATCACTTTTCACAAAACAAAAAGATGGACACGTAATAAATTCTAATAATTTATAGAAGATTACTCTTTCTCCTTAATTTGTTTCAATTATCTATACCAAGCCAAAATACAAAATCAATGTTATATGATGAAATAAGTGAAGCGCTCTTGGAAAAGGTAATTAAATATGAACTCAGCATAAAATTGAAACATCTTCTTGTATTGGTTGAAAAAGTTGTATTTAAGTGAACTGCATATATATGCAGCATATACAAGTGACATTATGTCAACTAAATGAGTTTACTCATGAAGAGGACTAGAAAGAGAACTCTACCATGTCTTTTCTGTCTAATTAATCAAATGGAAGTATTCATGTTTATTATTAACAAATCATCTGCCGTGTAAGAGATGTTATAAGATACCTTTTGCGCATACATTAAAAAATTTTAAAATTGTTGATCTGCATATGTCCGTAATGTCTATTTCCGAAGAATAGAAATGAAGTTATATTACCTGACTATAACAAGTTGTCCGTAAATTGAAACTGTAAATTATTTATCCTGCCCTGCACATAAATTAAATATAAGAGTAGATAAGAAACGCGATATGCTGATTAAACTTAATAAATAACATTAATCAACTGTCATTCTCACGTATAATTCAAGTTTTATTATACGCAGATTGAACTTACTCGACATCAGCATTGTATGTTAAAAAAAGTACATAACGCATGATATATAATTTTCAAGTGTCGCCATATCTTTTCTCTAGTATAATTAGTTCAAATGATGATAGCAATATTTTAAGGAGCACACATCTAAATGTTCTATTAATGTGGACGCTCCGGCAGATGTTTACTTCTATTCCTATGCGGAAGCAGAAAAATGGGTGTGGACTACAGGTAGTATTCAGAGTCATAAAATTGACTATGAATTATTTTGCTCTTGTCAATGACTTTAATCAAATCGTGTAATAACCCCGGAATAAAATTTTTTCAACAAGTTCGGATATCATTTGAAGTAAATGTTGCGGTATCTGACTAGTGCATTTAAGCGAATTGCAAAACACATTAGGCTTCAGAAATTCCATAATTCATCAAATCGAGAATAGATTAGTAAGTTTCAAGTAGTCCTAAAATTTTTACAATAAACCAATTGTCAATAACCAATTATAAAATGGGTAATTCAGTCCAGTAA